GCCTACAACGGCTGAGAACATGAGGACAAGGTCATCTAATAACGCGACGGCAAACGGTCGTCTGATGTCCTTCGATTGTCTGTCTGCCCTGAAAGCATCACATCGCTCCAAGCATACAACATCCGAACCTAGAGGAATCAAGACCCTATTCTCGGCAGTCAACCTGGAGGATTCTTGGCGTCGGCCTACGGCGATTCCCCCGCTCGCTACCAATTCTTACTTTGTAGCCCACCAGCAGGGAGGCGGCGGCCCGGACAGCTTTGGGCTCTGTTTGGTACTGATTGGACCAAGTCTAAAGTCCGGGACCAGCGGCATATTGGCCCTGTCGCTTCCTAGCCACCCCCCAGAAGCTCTGCTGATCAACGACGTCAGCTAGCCCCGTTTTATTCATGTTATTCATCCAAGTTATTCAAGCGGAACTCCAACAAGTGGCATCATGCGGCATACCGTCGTCCAAAAGCAGAAGCAGATGGCTGCTTGCACCGCGCCGTCTTGCTGGGCAAGGTCGCAGCGCAAAACCAAGACACCAGAATAGGATACCATACACAGTACCGTGAAGACACTATGGTGTTCACAAAGTCAATTCGCTCAAGTGTCGTCCGGCTTTGACCAGATGCAAAAGCTAATCCGATTATTAACAGCCACAATGTCAGTGATCAAAAGACGAACCAGTGGGTCGTTCGGCACTGAAAGCAGGCTTTAGGCCTGAGAGGAGACACAGAGACAGAAACGCAGGCTGGGAAACATTGATGATTTAGTGTTTCTCGCAACAAACCTTGGGTCGACAGCGGCACAGGGGGGGGGGGGATCCAGAACCTACACTATGTAGGTAGCCCCAACAGTTCCCACCTGGGTTCCGGAAACGTCACTAAGTTACCTCACGTAGTGCGAGCTGGGGGATGCCAGCGACGGGTCAGCGATGTGCAGCACCAAGCTCATGGGATGGCAGGGGTTCGGACCACAGCCAGACGCGCTGTGGATGGGACGGTTGCACAAGCATCACAAGCATGTTGAACAAGCTTAGCTGCCAATGCTAACGCTAGAAACAGAAGCAAGGAGGATGGCCCAAGACCAAGGGCAAACTGGCAAATTGACTCTGGCACCAGGAAAGAAACAAAATACCTACCGGCAGGCTACCCAATGGCTGGGAGTCGCTGGACGGCATCAAACACACGAAACCACAACAAGCACACACGGCGGTGAGACATTGTTAGTTGTAAGACTGGGTCTCGTTCAGCTGGTTTCGCGATTGCTTGATTATCCAGTCTTACCAGTCCCGAAATGCACTCGGCTCTCATACCTCGGTGCCTGTCCTATTTGTTGTTCCCCAGTCCAACTTTAGCCAGAAACGAAGGCAAATCTCGTCTTTGCGGGATCCTCTTTGCAAAGTTCGTATTGCTTTTTGGGAGCTATTAGTGGACCTCCGCCGCTCCTTTACTTCCCTCGGTCTCTCGACTCGAACGGTTCCGTCTTTGCTGGTGTCTTCGACTGCTCCTGACCAAACTCGTATTTACTTGGGGCTAGAAGCTGCTTCTCCCCTCCCACCTTCGTTTTTCGGTTGTCTCTCACGAACGACTAAGGCAGATGCAGACTTAAGAGACAGAAGAAGCAGCAGCAGTCAACCAGTAGTGGCAGCAGCAAGCGTCCGCACCTCCACCGTCATCGCTCCTACTCGATCCTCCCCGGTTACTTCGGTCTGGACGACGAGAGCCTGGATCCTGAACCTGGCAAACTGGGCTTGCCTGACCACCTCGGAAACTGACAAGGTGCTACTGCTTCTTTGAGGGGTGTAGTGTGTTCAACCTGCATGCACGTACATGCCAACACCAACATACAAGAACACGCACTTTCCCAGGCTTAAAGCAGTGTTGTTGCGCAGGTGTGTGTGGTGTGGACAGACCAGCCGCCATACCAATTCACCTCTCGTTTGTTGAAGAGGGGAAAAAAACGCCAACCAACCTTGCCAGTTCTTAGCTCGCATCATCGGAGCTACTCCATTACCTCACGAACGTGGCCCGACTCCCATGCGCACCGTCTGCCCGGTTTATGCCAGCAAGTCTTGACATTGTGCAAGTTTTTGGCCGCTTTCTTATTCCAACCTTGCGGCATCCACTTTGACACTTAATCGACGCTTCCCCCAGATTCCCAATTTTCAGTCCAACCTTTCATGCGGTCCGTTCATCGAAGCCAAGGATCCCTCCCACTGCAACCTACCGCATCATGATCGCAATGCGGGGCCGGCCATCATGGGCTTCTGTAAGCCGGCTTTTGCCGGCATTTTTACTGGCAACCGTCCAGTTCACCACGGCATACAATTTGGACACAAGTGATCAAGGTGAGCGAAAATAGCAATCTGATGACAATCTCGACTCACAAGTGGTATTCATAGCCGGTATTAAAACCATTGCGAGGTCAATGACCGAAGATCTCATGTCGTTCTACGACGGAGACAAACCTGGCAAGACCCCAGGTCTTCTCCCCGATCCATACTACTGTAAGTACACATCCGAATCCCTGCTCTGCTCTCGACTAACATCATGTCAGGGTGGGAGGCCGGCGCGATGATGGGCACCATGATCGATTACTGGTACTACACAGGTGACAGCACTTGGAACGATATTGTCACTCAGGGTCTCCTCCACCAAGTTGGCAAATTCAACGATTACATGCCAGAGAATCAGACACGAACCGAAGGAAACGACGATCAAGGATTTTGGGGGCTCGCAGTCATGTCTGCCGCCGAGTATGGGTTCCCCAACCCCCCGGACGACAAGCCACAATGGCTCGCACTGGCACAGGCCGTATTTAACACCCAGGCCGCGCGATGGGATCCTGACCATTGTGCAGGAGGTCTTCGATGGCAGATCTTTCAGTGGAATAACGGCTACGACTACAAGAACACAATTTCCCAAGCTTGCTTCTTCGCCCTTGCCGGACGCCTGGCTGTGTACACCGGCAACTCGTCGTACTCCGACTGGGCAGAGAAGACCTGGGATTGGATGGTTAACGTCAAGTTTATTTCCGACGACTACTATGTCTTCGACGGCGGTCACATTCAGTACAACTGCACCAACATCGTACCATATCAATGGACCTACAATGCTGGCGGCATGATCCTCGGCGCTGCTGCCATGTACAACCACACTGGCAGCGAGGTGTGGAAGAACCGACTCGACGGGCTGGTCAAGGGCGCAGATGTTTTCTTTGTTGGCGAGGAGAAGAACATCATGCAAGAGGTAGCATGCGAGACGGTTGAACTCTGCAACCTCGACCAGCAGTCCTTCAAGGCATACCTCAGCCGCTGGCTGGCGGCCATCACTAAATGGGCCCCGCACTTGACTGATGGCATCATGTCCAAGATCCGCGCTTCATCTATCGCGGCTGCATCGCAGTGCAAAGGCGGTACGAACGGACGCATGTGTGGTTTGAAGTGGACCGAAAACGGGACTTGGGACGGAATGCAGGGTGTCGGACAACAGATGGCCGCGCTTGAAATCACCCTCGGCAACCTCATCGAAACTTCTCATGCACCTCATACTGCAGACGTTGGCGGCACCTCTCAGGGCGATCCTGGAGCCGGAGGTAATGACATCGGTCGGACGATCCCCGCGGTCTCGACCTTACCACCATTAGGCGGCGGCGATACGGCAGGTGCAGCAATCCTGACGATGGTTGTCCTTGGTCTCCTGATTGTGGGTGTCATTTTCATGATGCTGGATGAGACGTCCAAAAAGCCCATGAAGGAGCGGTTCTTCGACTTCCGTTCCGCGCTTCTTGGTGGCGGTGGCCTCGCTGCACTAAGCACCAGGCGAAAGAATGAAGAGATGAATGAGAAGGGCAAGGGAATCGATAATGATGCATCGAGCGACGGTGACAGTTCGCGTGAAAACGGAATACTGTCTCCCTTACCAACGAAAGGATACACAATGAGCAGCCACCAAGGCCTGCCACAACGAGGCAGTGTGCTCTCTCATATGAGCGGGACAACGGCAGTCACGGATCCGCCTCCAGGAATTCCCATGGTCCGAGAGAAGAGGCTGAGCAGGAAGAGCCGGAACCCAGCACTGCGCAACAGCATTGCGTCACAACGATCGGCTCGAATTGAGTAGACCCCGTCTCGTTTCACGGTCTGGGATTGGAGCAAATTGCATTCAACATCAAAGGCGTTAAATGGCGGGGACAAACGGACTTCTGGAACATACTTGGATTTTACATATGCATTGGGTTGGCATCATCTGGCATTCATTGGAGAATAAAACCAAATAGTCATGGCCAGCTATTACGACACAGCAAGCTCTAGAAGATCGAGAGCTGGGAAACAGCCACGACGTTATGACGACCTGTACATAGATAGATGATGCCGATTGTAATTGAAGCCGCTATTGGCTACTCTCTCAACGAGAAACTCGAGTGAATAAATCTGTTAATCGGTGGTATAGCACGACGGACTGGAATCAAATGCATTCATTATTTCCCGGCTGACGGGGCCGGTACGGCGCCGCATCCAGCTCCGCCCGCCGAGTTGACGGGCGATTCTCGCGGCGAATCCTGTGGCGGAGCTCTCCACATAAGCTTGGCATCGAGGCGACATGCGCAGAGCTCCAGATGAGAATGAGTGAGGACAGAAGATAGAGTTTCCAAGCCTTCCGGCAGTTAATTTAAACCACGGAAACGCCAGAACTTAGAAAAGGGGAATGCTTTTTGAACGAGGAAGTAAGATTTGAGGATACTACGCAGTCGGATGTGTTTCCTTGCGATCCTCGCATTTGACCTTCCGACGAGCTTGTCACTTTGATGTCAGACAGCTCAACTTTGAACTCGCTTATTGGTAAGACTTACCCCCTTGTCAATGGTGAAACTTACCATGGATGTGCAACTATTAAATATCCGTCCATACACTCGCACGCGGTTTTATATCTCCCCCGCTCCTAGAACATGGGAGCTCAGCCAATGGAGGGCTGGGTATTTCCTGTTCACATGCCCGAACACGAGGGGGGGTAATGGGGCAAGGAAGGAGGGATGTGGGGTGGTGGTGGTGTTGCGTGTCTCGAGGACGTGGTTGTGTAACCATGCCAGATGACGATGGCGGCACAATTACGGTCTCTTTTTTGAGAGGTAATAGGCTATACCGAGGCATTTCACATCCTTTAGAGGTGGTCTCTAAAGTCTTTCTCAGCGCTACTGAAGAGGAAGGAGCGAATTGGTGATCAGCCCTGTGCGGCCATTTTGTTTCGTCAGAAGTCACCAGAAGGTGAAGTTCGTCGCTCTCTCCGATGCTGTTTTTGCGGGGGGATTAACATGATTGTTACTTCAGTAGGCTATCTGTAATGGGCTTCAGAGGCGGTGGGATTGGAGGGGTCAAGAGCTAGCTCGATGGCCGTAGCGTAGCGCTCCCGTGTAAAAGGTTCCTAGTGGTGCTAGTTGAGCCAAACTGCCGCTCTTGGAAGGAGGTGGCACCGGGGGGGCACTAAGATATTATGTCGAGAGCTAGTTTAGGTCCAATTCCTAAAGATGGGTGATGAGGGGAAACCACCGGGGATATCCATACGTTACCTTCTACGAGATGGCGATGTTACATCATTCTGCGGACTTGCGTATCCTCTCTGGACGCACGCACATGGGATGGGGCATGTCTCTGATGGAGACTTTGGTGTATAAGATATGCGACTCTGGCCAGCCTACGTGTGCCCAGGGAAGATTCTAAGGTTTGGTCATTTTAGGATTACTGATTACTTTATCTAGTGGACTCCTCCGTACCGAAACCGAAATCCAAACAAACTGGGTCCGTTCTTTCATTTGGAAGAGGGAAACCCTGGGCGACATAGTAGTCGGAGACCTTTTCCGTCTGATGTTGTACCGGCTTTCTATCGGGCAAACCGGCACGGACTTTGGAAACGTGCGTGAGCTTTAACTGCGATTCAGTCCTACTCCAAAGGGTTGAGGGGTACCAGAGCTATAGATACAAGACCAGGACCTTCACCTCACCTCGCCATCTTAGAGTTGATTGAACGTTCTCACACCACATATCGAACACCATGGCGCGAGAATACCTATATGCAGCTTCATCAGCCGCCCTCGGGTCCTACGTCCTCTGGACGCTGGCCGAGAAATACTTCACCTGGTCACACAGCTCTCACCTCACAGCAAACCACGCCCTCGCCAGCCCGCTCCTCGCAACGCTCTTCGCCCTCCCAGCCCTCATCTTATACAAGAAAGCATGGTACCTCTTCAAAATGAAGGCCCTCCGCTGCGCTCCCGCGCCCACGTACCCGCACAAGGACCCGATCCTCGGCACCGACTGGATCCGCGCCTCGCTCGCCCGGCAAAAGGAGCACAAGCTCCTTGAGTGGTGGCAGGACCTCTTTGGCGCGCTGGGGAATACGTGGTGGGTCAAGACGCCCGGCGGGTGGGTGCTCATGACGAGCGAGCCGGAGAATCTGAAGGCGATTCTGGCGACGTCGTTTGAGGCGTTTCCTATCATTGGGCCGAGAAGGGAGGCGGTGCTGCCGATTTTGGGGGAGGATGCGATTTTCTCGGCTAATGGGGAGGTGTGGCATGGTGCTAGGGCGATGATGAGGCCTAGTTTTGTGAGGAATCAGATTGCGGATTTGAATTGTTTTGAGAGGCATGTTGGGGATCTTATTGGGAATATTCCAAAGGATGGGGGTACGGTGGATTTGCAGGCGTTGTTGTACATGATGACGATGGACTCGGCAACTGATTTTATGTGAGTGCTCAGAAGAGATTTACTTGGCGAGTGAAGAATAGAACATACTGACGATAGTTCTCCAGGTTCGGGCATTCCACCAACATGCTCACGACGCCGTCGCCAGAAGCCCGCGACTTCACCTCGACATTCGAATACATCACCACCCGCTCTGCCATCCGCTCCCGCCTCGGCCTGCTCACCTTCCTCGACAACGACAAGAAGTGGGATGAAGGCCTGAAGAAGATCCACGGCTTTTGCGACAACTACATTCGCAACATCAGGGAGGCCGACCCGGAAAAGAAGCAGGACCCCGAAAGGGGCTACGTGTTCCTCAACGAGATGATTGGGAAGCCCGGCATGACACCCGACTACATCCGCGCGCAGCTGCTCTCCATGATCCTCGCGGGGCGGGATACCACGGCGTCGACCCTGTCTGCGCTGTTCTGGATCCTGGCGAGGAGGGGGGATGTTGTGAGGAGGTTGAGGGGCGAGGTGGAGGCTTTGGAGGGGAGGAGGCCTACGTGGGAGGAGATGAAGGATATGAAGTACCTGAACAATGTGCTCAAGGAAAGTAAGTTATTCGCTGACTGTTTGGGAGGAGGGGACGTTGGGAATAGAGTGCTGACGGTGCGATGCGTCTTGATTAGTCTTGAGATTGTACCCGACTGTTGCGAGCATGTCGCGCGGCACAGGACGGGATACGACGCTACCTGTAGGCGGAGGACCCGATGGGAAGTCGCCAATCTTCATCCCGAAAGGCACGGCTGTGCGGTGGTCTCTGTTCTGTCTTCACCGGAGGAAGGATCTGTATGGTGAGGACGCTGATGAATTCCGACCCGAGCGCTGGGAGGAGATGCGGCCGTCGTAAGTTTATGCCCCCTTCCGTTCCCTTTCCATCATATTCCTACCCTGGAACTCTGTCTTTTGATGAGAAGCCTTTGCTGACTGAATGAATCCAAATTCACAGATGGGATTATCTCCCTTTCTCTGGCGGCCCGCGTATTTGCATTGGGCAGCAGTTCGCGCTGACGCAGATGAGTTATTTTGTGGTGAGGATCTTGCAGACTTTCAAAGACATTCAGCCGAGGGATGAGAGGCCCATGTTGCAGACTGTGGGTATCACAACGAAGCTGCCCAACGACGTCTTGTTGAGCTTCACGCCGGCTTAGAATCCGCTGAAGATACGGAAGGTTGGTGTAGCTGGGTGGGTTGGACGTCATTGTAGAGGATGCTGCAGAGAAAGCTCTCTTCAATGAAGAAACTTGACGCGCCGATGGATTCATTTCTCAAAGTATCACATTTGTATATGTTGCCCCGTTGCTGCGAGAGCTGTAATCAAACCGAGCCATTGTCGGAAATTATTTTCTTGCACTTCCCTCTCAAGTATACTCGAATTTCTACTCACATGTTCTTCGGATCCGACCCAACGTCTATCATCAAATCCCATTCTTATTCTTTTCATGTTAATCATTTTGCTGTTTCAAAGTTGGTAGGTTTCGTTTCGATTCTGAGTCGCTAAAAGGAAGAACACCACATTTACATCGACCATTGTGCGACTCCTCAACGTATCACCTTGAGCAACCACGCAAACGACTGCCAAGCGTGTCAACGCAGCTAGGCGGATTCCATCCACTCTGTTCAAGACGCCCACCTAGCCTGTCAAAGATCTTGCAGCACCAAAAGCCCCCGAAGAGCGACAGCGCGGCATGCAGGTATCCCGCCTGCATCCCACAACCCCGGCAATGCAGCCAAAGACTGGAAATGATGCGTCGCGCCCAGGTTCGACCCCAGATACCACGAATACCACCAACCTGCACGATACACCCGCAGATTGGACGCACCGGTGACATGCTGGATCTCTCACGCACCATCTGCTTTCTCTCTTTTCCCCCTCATTCATCTCATGAGGAGCGATGAGCAGTGATCAGAGTTGCGTCGCATGGTGCAGATGAGGGAGGGGGGGGGGGGGATTTCGGTGGCACCATTGTGCATGTTACATGTCTTCTGGAAGCGAGAAATTAATAAAAAAGAGTCTCACCTCGTCGTCTATCACCAGCACAATCGGTCTTAGGGAAGGGGAAAAAGTTCCATGCTAATGTTGGTCACGCCTTGGCGGGATGCGCGGTCGGCGAGTTTGCGGATGCAAGGGCTTGCGGCAACCGAAGCCATGTCTCAAGCCCACCGCCTTGGCCCCTGGTCCAGGAATAAGAAAACGTCGATGGCCAATCTCAATCTCATTGTCTGAACCGGTGTTTCTCCCTCGAACCTTTTATTCTGGAGTCCATGAGGATTGAACTAAAGCTCCAGTTTCGTTCAACGAGTCATTAAAAAGGGCGATTTTTTGGTTCGCGTTAGACATTCACGGGAACCGACCGTGCCGTCGTATTTGTGCAAGGGCTAAGTAGACCCGATTGTGTCTCGTTGGGTGACGGGCTAAAGGGAGATGACAGGCGGGAGTGAGCTTTCAAATTTGGGCTGTGACGGGGCCCCCGTTCTGGGAGAGGAGGATGAGAGGCCGGATTCTTGAGGTTCAACCTGTCTCGTGGCACCGGGAACGTCGATGCGTGTAGCCCACTCGACAGCTCTCACCCAGATCTCTTGCTCCAAGTTGGGGGATCACAGGATACAGAAAAGCTGATTCGATATTGCGCGTCCTGGCACCAAGGGTGAGCTACGTGTGTCTTCCGCCTGATACTCACTGTTTCCTTTGGAAAGAGGTCTGTCTCGATTGGATTTGTGTCCAAGACTTTCAGAGCCATCGGTCAAAGTCGTTCGAAACTTGAAGACCTTTTGATAGGTGCGTGGAGGAGCCCCTCATCCAAGACCGCCAGTTTCATCGTCCCGTTGGAGCAAGACAAGAGAAGTCAAGGCATTAGCATCTTCACTAGCAAACAAAAACAGACCGGGGGTCTACGGATATATGATGGAGAAGGAAAGGTGGAAAAGGCGCAACGGATGAGATCTAAGGTTAGTGTTGGATTGCGGGAAGGGAGGCGGACACCCATGCTCCAACATCTCTTACATGCCCCTTTGGGAAGCAAGCAAACCAACATATTTCTTCTTCCAACACGATCTGCATTTCTGTTTGTCACGTTTTCTCTGCCAATGCTCTAGAGGGGAGAGGGAGTCGAGGAATAGACTAGAGCAACAGAGCCACAGCCAAGCACAGAAAGGGTACTTTCACTTAGTTAGCAGACAAACACCGCAATCTAGAGCCGCACAAACGACTGACCGCCAAACCGGAGTGCCGTTTCGGCTAGCCGCAGAAGGATCGGTCCTCCATTCGGTGAGGTTTTCCCAAGCCGGTCCGTCGTTGGCGACAGAAGCAAAGATGAAGGGGTGAACCGCAGATGGATGAGACCAGACTCCCTCACCCCCCCTCCTACCGAGAAAGGGGGCGAGAATCTACGTACGGGTTCCCGCGTAGGTAGAGCAAGAAAGCCGGGGTAGATGAGAGACATGGACGGACAGTCCAACTTAACAGGATCGTCCTCCACA